TAAATGATGATTTTTTCTTCCTTCCCTATCTGCAAATTGGCGCCACACAGGGATGAAAATCTCCTAAGGTGGCCGGCCATAATGGATAAGGATAAGAGGAGATTTTGTTTCAAATTTAAATAGGAGATAATTAACAAGCTTTATCTTAGAGATAGAGATTTGATTCCTTTTTGAAGTTTGACTTCTACTCTTTAAATACGAGAATGATAGAAAATTGTGAATACAATTTTTGAAAACAATTTTTATGCCCTAAGAGTTAAGGCTGGCCGAAATTCTCAAGAGAGAAAGGAAGGAAAAAATTTTTCTCCAAAAATTCCACATCGTGCATGCGTTGGTGTTTGTGGAAATTCGAGTGTTTATTGTAACCCATTTTGTCTCATGTGTGCCCACACACACGTCTTCGTGGATTCTAGGAATTGACGTGGAAGACATTGGTTTTCTAAACACAAAAATTGGAGCAAGGACTGTTCGTGGTCAAAGAACTCAAGTTATCATCCGAGTCGGCTTCCAGGTATTTTTCCTTATTGAGTTCTTAATAAATGAATTAATGAGATTAATTTATTCGTGCATAAATTAATATAATCTATAGAGTATCTCAAAAGTTTTATGAAAATTTTTGTTATACACGATCCGCCTCTTCCCTCGAACCACCACGCTTCCGCAGCCGGATTCGATTCGGCAACCAACATGAATGGGTGTCGAAATTAATGGGTTTTGATTTTGAAATCAGGTACAAGATGGGTACCTCTAATCGAGTGACGGATGCACTATCTAGGAAGGCCAATCTTCATGAGTTGGCCACCATCTCAATTACCTCCTTTGCGGGTTGGGAAGAGCTGGAGCGTGAGGTACATGAGGATGCCAACCTCCGCCACATCATTCAGGACCTTCTCATTGACCCACACGGCCATCCAGATTACCAAGTGAGTAGGGGATATCTGACTCATCAGGGACGCTTGGTACTCCCCAAAACGTCTTCCAAAATTCCCCTACTGTTGGCTGAATTTCACTTAACTCCGACATGAGGTCACTCCGGGTTCTTTCGTACCTACAAGCGAATTTCTCAAGTGCTCTATTGGGATGGCATCAAAAGGGAAGTCCAAGAGCATGTTGTCGCCTACGATGTGTGCCAGCGCAACAAGTACTATTCTCTTAGTCCCGCCGGCCTCTTGCAACCACTTCCCATCCCTCAACAGGTTTGGGAGGACATCTCTATTGACTTCATTGGCAGGCTACCCAAAACTCATGGAATGGATACGATCTTGGTTTTCGTTGACCGGTTATCCATGTACAACCATTTTCTAACCTTATGCCACCGCTACACGGCTAGAGAAGTAGCCACTCTGTTTATTCGCGAGGTGGTCCGCTTGCACGGATTTCCAAGGTCAATTGTTTCTGAACATAATCGTGTGTTCATTAGCCAATTTTGGTATGAACTATTCAAGCAAGCCGGGACACAACTAAAACTTAGCTCCGCTTACCTACTTATGGTGTTTCATTGCAGGTAAACCAAGGACGTGGCCGAAATGGGTGATGTGGGCTAAATATTGGTTCAATACCACCTTCTTGTCTTAAGCAGGAATGACACCTTTTCGCGCTTTGTATGGCCAAGACCCCCTAACTCTCTTGAAGTTTACGGATGATCCCTCCCCCATGGAGGACGTGAACCAACAACTACAGGAACGCAATTCCATCCTTCAAGAACTCAAGGAGAATCTTCTCAAGGCCCAGGATCACATGAAGAAGCACGCTGACCAGCGAAGACACAATGTCACTTTTTCAGGAATGTGAGTTGGTCTACCTAAAATTGCAACCCTACCGACTACGCTCGCTGGCCCATCGTCCGAATGAAAAGCTCAACCCCCGTTTCTACGGTCCATTCCGCGTGCGGGAGCGAGTAGGAGCAGTTTCTTACAAGTTGGATCTTCCTTCCACAACAAAGATCCACCATGTTTTCCACATTTCCCAGCTACGCAAGGCCATCAAAGCAGCATAACCTGTTAGTGATTTTCCTGCCTTCCTTAGCGCCGATGGTGAGCTTCAAGTACACCATGAAGAAGTCATAGCCAGCCGCAAGTTACTCAAAGACGACCACGAAGTCCTCATTAAGTAGCAGGGTATGCCCTCGTTTGAAAACACATGGGAGTCAGCCTCCCCCATTCTGCTCAGTTTCTAGAATTTCACCTTGAGGACAAGGTGCATGTCATAGGGGGGGAAGTGTTAGGAACGTTTGGTCTGGTAATATGTATTCCAGGAGGCCCAAGAAGGGCCCAAATACCTAAGCTACAAGTGTCACTTGCTGATTGGTCACATGGGAAATTCTGTTGGTGGCCTAACCGAATTATGAATAAAAGAGCTAGATGCTAGAAGTGAGGTAGGGGAATTAGTGGGAGGAGGTAGCAGCACGTTGAAGCTGTGGGACTTGTAATCCTTTGACTTCCATAGCTAATATCAATTGGGAGCTCTGAGACATTCTCAGCTCTCATTTTTCAATTATTCTCTTGTGTTTAGTTAGTTTTGGTGTGTGTTAGCTATTAGGAATTGTTCACTGCAGGTTGGTACCCATCACATTATATTATAAAAGAGTAGAAGTTTAGCTCTTGTACACTTTTAGTTGTCCAAAACGCAACGTTTTCATGTTCTCTTGGGTTTTTTCTAGCTCCTGTACACTTTTGGGTTTTTTTTTGCATTTTCATGTTCTCTTTTTTCTTTTTTCTTTTTTCCTCAAAATTTTATATTTTTCATTCTTATCATTCTCTTTTAACTTTTTTCTTTCATTTATCCTAATTATTTCTTTTCTAATCGTACTTATATGTTTCTTTCTAATAGTACTCTAAAATATTATTGTATTATAAAAGTTATTCTCATAAATTTCTTTTTAATTGTCCAACTAAAATAATTTTTTAAAAATATGGCCATAGTTAAGTCAGGTGTGCAAATTTTATTAGGACAAGCATACTACCACTTAATGTATACTTTTTATTAATCTTTAAGAAGATGTTTATTTTTTGTATTCGTCTCTGATTCTGAATCATGATTCATGATTTTCTATAATAATTTTTTCTCACAAAAAACACGTAAAACGAGAATAATTTTGACTCATGATTCTGAATACATAAACCAAACGTCCACTAAATAAATTTTTTGTCTATTTTTTTCTTGCTCATTGTCATTTGTATTTTACGTTATAAAAACTTCAATTATAACTAAATATATGCACGGGACTAGGGGTTGCAATTCGTGTCACGTATCGTATTCGTGTCGTGTTTTGATTATTTTTTTAAAATTTACAGTCAACCTAAACACGACCCATGACACAAAATTTTTTAAAAACCGCAACACGAACACGACACGACCCGAAAATGACCCGTGACACGAAATTGACCCGTGAACCCGAAATTGACACGAAAATTATATACTTTTATTTAGTTTTTTACATATTAGAAATAACTTAAAATTCATAACACACTAAATTACAATAACATCCATTGAAATTAAGCAAATAATAGTATAAGATTTTGAGTATAACTATCATGATATCACAAGTTCATAATAAACTTTAAAATATGAAATGAAAAATATATGTATTTTTTAGTTTTTTACGAGTTTCGTGTCGTGTTCGGGTTAGGCGGGTCCAACCCGAAATTGACCCGTATTTTTCGTGTCAATTTCAGGTCGACCAAATTCTGACCCGAACTTCTTTTTTCTCAATCCTAACTCACAAAATTCGTGTCGTTTTCGAGTCGTATCGTCGTATCGTGACCCATATTGTCGGTCCTACACGGGACGTACCAAAACTAGTATAGATACAAGTGTACTACGCACCATGATGGTGTTGCCACTTTCAAATATGTTTGCCGCCCCGGACATGCACAAAAGGCCAAAACAAGTTTTAAATAGTTACCGTTGCTCCGAGTCCCACCTAATACCACTCAAACACCGAAACGGCAAAAACCCACACTATTCAAAAAAGAGAAGCAGAAACACACTTTCCCATCCTATTCAAATTCAAACATGTTTTTGGTGTCTTCTTATATTAGACTACCCAAACTCGTTCACCACTTACAATTGAAAAATCTTTTTCTTTCCCAAGGCAGTTTCATGTTGAAGATTTTACTTTCACTTCCATAAGCCCAACTCATTTCTTTAGAAAAATCAGCTAGCCAAAATCCCAATTAAACACAATCACTTCTCTCGCTATCTCTCAACGATGATTAGTAAGAAATCTGCATCTGCAATTCCCCGACAATCCTCATACAATTCCCTCCACGACAATCCATTCAATGAACGACGACACAACCGTAGCAACAGCGAAGGTGGGAACTACTTAAGAAACTCCAACGACGACGACAACAACAAGTACTTGAAGGAAAACCCATTAGTTTTAAACGACAACAAGGAGAATGCGGTGCCCAAAAAGCAAGAAAAAGCTTTCCCAAGCGACGACAAAGAAAATGTGGCAGCAATTGCAAATGGGTCTGCTTCTTTTGCTCCTCCCACCAATCTGAAATCATCGCTTTCCACAGCCAGTTGTAACAAGGCCTTGAAGCCGTCCTCGCTTCAGTTCTGCATGCAAGTAAACGAGCCTGATAAGGTCTTTGGTGGGTCCAAGATATTGGACCCCACCGACTCTGAGAACTCGACTTCGCTTAAGATCTGGGACTATTCGGATTCTGAGGCTGCTCCTGCTTCATCTTGGTCTACTTTGCCCAATAAGTGAGTTTTGTGGTTGAGTTCAATTATTTGTTTTAGTATTTATTTTTTAATATGACTTTTTTGTGATGATTTATTCTTTTTTTTTTTGCAGGTCTTTATTGTGCAGACCATTGCCTTTGGATATTGGAAAGTGCACTTGTGTTATTGTTAAGGAAGCGTCTTCAGAAGGATTTGATGGTGTTACTTTGTATTCTCTCTACACCAATGTGAGATTTCTGCTTTCTTTTCTTCTTTCAGAAACAAATCTCGTCTTGGGTTGTCTTCTATTTCTGAAAGTAATTTTCAGGTTTCTCGAGTGCATTCTTTTGTGTTCACCAATCTTTGTTGCTAGAACAATTGAATGATCAATTACATGTTTCAGAATTATCTGATTTGTGGTTTTAGAACTATGGAATAATTAACAATTAATCAATGTCTCTGAGTATTAGAACTATGGGAAAGCCATGGTCAATTCCATGTGTTGGCTAACACTTCCTATATTATCTTCCTTTCTGAATATGGTTGTGTTGGGAAAGCCATGGTCAATTCCATGTATTGGCTAGCCTTATTTTTGGGCTGGACAAATAAGGGGCACTAGCCCAATTATGTAGAATAAAAAAGGAGGGCTTCGGCAAAGTAAGAGAGAAAAGCAAGGAGGTAGAAAAGAATTAGAGATGAAAAGGAGAAGGAATGAGTCTGCGAGACCTGTACAAAAAGATCAAAAGTCCAAATATTGTGGTCTTGGCGCAAATTTCACACGGTGAGTCCTTGCAATGAGGTGATAGAAGAGCTTGTTGGAAGGATTGTGAAATTTGAGCCAAACCTGACAACATTTCACCTTTTGATCTTCTTGCACTAGTCTCACAAACGTATCCCTTTCCGCTCTTTTGTTTTTCTCTCAGACTCTACCAAAGCCTTTTTATCCCCTTATTTCGATGTGTTAAAGTGAGGCTTGTTAAGCACGTCACGTTAGCTCTTTCTTCTGGGTAGATTTAAACTCGTGCCTTGTTATTTGTCTAGCCTACTAATGGGGCAAACAACCCAACAGGTTAAACTCGTGCCTGTTTTTTGCCTTTCTTTTAGAGTTCTTGCCTTCTTTAAGTTAATGTATAAGGGGAGAAAGTGAGTACATAAATCTTATAAAGACAAACATACATTTTTATGCTCATTCACTCGACATAGTCCTCTAGATTTCCAAAGATAAATGTTTTCAGTCTATAAAACAGTTTAATTAGAAAAAAAATTAACGGCGTAAACTATTGGTGTTCTTCTATTTGGAAATAACATCTAAAATGATTGATCAAAGAGTAATGCTATTTTACAGTCAATGGTATCTAGCTTCACACGCTTCTGGCCAAATCACACAGTGTCATATAGTAATGAGATGAATAAATTACCATATGATAGTGTGTGATTGGGCCAAAGGTATGTAGTAGTGATGGTACCAATGCTGATATTTAGCATTTGTTGATGAAAAGATTAATTCCTTCATGGTGGAGTGCTAAGTTTAGATAAAGAGGGAGAGCATGAGGGAGAGAATAAAGGAGAGTGCATTGAACCCTCAGATCCAATGACTTATCGGATAGTTTAGCGGCGCTATCACCAGTAACCTATGCTCTAAATGCTTTAATATTCATATGGTTTGAATGTTTGAATGTAGAGCACGGGTTACCTTATGATAGCACCGCAAAATCGTTAAAAAAGTCGCTGGAGCTGAGGGATTCAATGAACTCTCCTCTGTTCTCTCCTTCTTGCTCTAGACTTAGCACTCCACCATGACATAATACTTAGGCCACACCCCAAAAATATATGCTACCCCTTTTTATTTATGTTGTGCTTATTTCAACAGTGCTGAGAGGTTGTTTGATCCAATGAGATGATCAAATCATTTATGAGAGAAGGAGTCCATAGGACCACAAGCATAGAATGAAAAGATAATAATTATCTGATTTTGCTTAAGTCAATATACCATACATTATAATTAAATAAATTGCTCATAATATGCTTAATATTGTTTGACATTAGTTTAAGTAGCTAAAATATGCAAGTCCACATGCAAAAATCCCAACATGATTATGCTAGTTACTTAAAAATATTCCAACATGATCTTCCAAAGTAAGCCTCTATTTTTGTTTGTTTGTTATAGTGCAATTCCTAGGAACCCTCTTCAAGATTCGTATTTGGTTCATGAACTTAAATATGTGAAGATGTTACTCATCTTTTAGAGTGGAAAGTTACCAAGGTAAAGAAATGCTAAAGACAGTCATGGGTGTTGTGACCATCCAATCTTAGTCTTCCATGGCGGTGGATCTCCTGTGGGGTCCATGGCGGTGGATCTACTGTGGGGTCCATGGTAGGGACATGAATGGCTGTGATTGGATAGTCGCGACGCCCCCAACTGTCCAAAGCACGTACAACTCTTCCTTGTTCAGTTCATATTATCACTAGTTTTAGTGGGATGCTTGTTCATGCTATGATTTTATTACACATAAAATTATAGCATGACATTTAACCTACCCATCTATATATTTTAACATTGAGCAGACTTGGCTTGAATGACATCATCAACTACCATTGATAGTTGGTCTTCGAAAAACCGGATTTAAATATTATGCTAATGTACAGTTCTTATTTAGCATTTAATCATAATCAGATATTGGGATTGGTACTCCTTTGATGAGATCTTTGGCTTAGTGCTATATTATTTGATGTGATGATTTTGTTGTACTCCTAGTTAGTGTAGTATCTTCGTTACTGCTGCATTTACTTTTCATAGTTGGGCAAGTCTTTTTCTCCTTTTTAGAACTTGTAAGTTTTATTGATAACGGACTTAGGGGAAGACTTGTACCTAGTTCTTGTGCTTGCCTTTACTCCTGCGACATTTGTCTTGCAAAATCCCCATTTTCAAACATGGTTTGCCGGAAAGGTACATGGATTGGTATATTTCTCATTATATCAATCTAGATACCTACTCCAAAATAGTGCTCGCACTATCACTTTAGCATATTCATTTAGATGAAACTGTGATTTAGTATGCACTTTGTTGCTTAATGTTTGTCCTGAATATTATGAAGAAATGAATGAGGATTGTTTCTGTAATTGTGTCTAATTCCACTCTTCTTACAAAGTAAAACAAAAGAATTTTGATTAGAGCTGCTTTGCTGTAATCTCTCTACATATTAATTAGACTTATACGTATTTTTGGTATGAAATTTCGTATTGCAGGAAGGACGGGGACGGCAGGATAGAAAACTGGCTGTTGCTAACTATAAACGCCGCAATGGAAGATCTGAGTTTACCGTTGCTCAGACTATGCAGGGAATATCATCTACTTCAGATGATAGCTTTCTTGGGACTGTTACTGCTAGCTTGATGGGTTCAAAATACCACATATGGGATCAGGTTGAACTAAAATCTTGTTCGTGCAAATGACAATCAGATATCTTTAGAACTGATGTAGTATTTTGCCCTTATAATTAACTGTGTAATTAGCATTATGTTCGAAATTCGAATGCAGGGTAGTGATCTCAATACTCTGAACAAACAGTCCAAATCACTACTCGGTGTCGTAGCGTAAGCCACACTCCTCATTTTTGTTTCTATTGTATCTGCCTGAGTGCCTCTACTTCTAGTCATTACGGTTGTTGTCCTTATCTCTGCAGTTTTATCCCTACAATTACCACCTGGACAGGAAGTTATAGGAGCATGAGGGCATATATAGCGAAGCACCAATCTATGCAGCTAAAGAATTCTACTCAGGTTTTCCAAAATCTTTGATGTCTTCGGCCCATTTTCAAATTAGAACAGGTCAAAGATGATATCGAGTTGCAATTCGCACGTGACAACTTTCGTGTTAACTTCTTTCTATGGTAGGTACAACACGTTAAGGGACTGCCAAATGATTGGGAGGGGAAAAAGGAAAAAGTCCATCAGTTATTCTCAAGGATTCCGCAGTACAATAAAGTACGAATTTTGTTCCTTTTTTTTTCATGACATAGATTTTAGACTCTGTTGCTTCATTCTAGAGGCTCTTCAAACTGTTTTCAGCTTTCGAGGCAATATGAGTTAGACTTCAGAGACAAGGGAAGAGCTGGTCTTAGAATCCAAAGCTCAGTGAAGAATTTCCAGCTTACTTTGGAGGTATTATCAGTGTCCATGACTCAACTGCAACTTGGAAAACTGTATTAAATAATATGGTACATAATTGTTATCAGAGACCTTGTTATCTGACAAAAACCTTGTTTGACTAAATCTAGTACAAAGGGGAAAATCTCAGCAATTTTTAAAATATGAAGTATATTCTTACATTTTGATGAACCATAGGGGAGGTTTTTATAATTATCCCTTATTTGGCTTGAAATGCTTACTTCTATTTGTATGGTTCTAGGAGAGTGGAAAACAGACAATTCTGCAGCTTGGAAGAGTTGGGAAATCAAAATATGTAATGGATTACAGGTATATAGCTGCAGCTTGGAAGAGTTGGGAAATCAAAATATGTAATGGATTACAGGTATGGTAATGCTATATAGCAAGCATTCTCAAGTTACATATCTTGGATCTGATTGAAAATAAGGTATTTTTGAAGCTTGTGTTGTATATGTATTAAGAATTTTGGTGCTCTTTTTACCCAATTATTATCTTTGTTATGCAGATATCCTTTGACAGGCTACCAAGCATTTTGCATATGTCTGGCTTCTATTGATTCAAAGCTTTGTTGCAGTTTGTAATTTTTTACTTTGTCTTGTTGTTCAACCTCTGAACACAAGCTACTTAGTTGTTTGTACTCTATTTTGTTTTCTGGTCTCATCTTTCTCTGTGTTGAATTTGCCCATCTAAAAAAAAAAAAAAAAGTTAGAGCCATCATTTTAATGAACCTGAAAAAGCAGTATAAAAATTGAGTTGAAGTGTTGAACATAGTTTGCAAGGCATACAAGTTTCATTGCACAAATGTAATGTAATCACTCTCTTCAAGTTGTTTTTCATAGTTATGTTGTAGCCTACAAAAAAAGTTAGGCTAGCCGCCTAAAAACAAAGTTCTGCCATTAATGGGTTAATCTCATCAATGTTTTTTGAGGTTTACTCTTAATTTCATTTTAATCTCTGACTTTTAAAACGTCCCATAATTAGTCGTTGAGATTTTATTTTGTTGCAGTTTTTGTTCTTCTGCTAGCTAGATGTTAAATATTTGATGGAATGCAAGTAAAATAGAGATAAAAATTAGAAATATCTAAAGTTTAAGGACTAAAACAACAGAACAAACGTTAATTTCCACAAATAGCCTCTAATTTTTAGTTCTTTTCAATTTTAGTCTCTAGTTTACATAGATTTCATTAAATCTTTATCACTTAGACCTCGTTCATTTCACTGATTCAAGTTTTTAGTACTAAATTTTTATAGTTAAAAACTCTTAAAAATGTCATATCTAACTTTTTCTGCTGCAGTTAAAAGCTCTCAGAAAATATTACATATAAACTCGAATCTGCGAAGCAAATGAGGCATTAATTAACAGAAGGAGAAAAACAAAAAATAAAGTAAGACTTCAGCGATTAGATTAAATGTGAACTATGGAGCGTTTTAAGAGTTATAAACTAAAATGAGATTGAAAGTAGAAATCATTTTTAGAATTAACCCGCCATTAATTTAAAATGGGTAGCCAAAATTAGCTATGCACGTAATTTTCCCAAAAAAAAGCTCAATAATTGAAAAGAAATTAAAGGAGTGATGTTGTGAGTACTATTTTTTTAAAAATTTTTTAAAATGAATCATTTATCAAATATCAATATGAGGTACTTTTTAATATCCAATTAGTTGTATGAAGTATTATCAAAAATTAGTTGTATGAAGTACGCGATGACGATCTATGATTTTTTCTCAGTAGGGGCACAATGAGAATTAACTTTTTAAAGTAAAAGAACGACTTTAGTTATATGAATAACGTTGATCAAAATATTATAATGATTAAATATCGCTCTTATGTTTTGAAAGCATTTCACATTATGTTCTTTTGAAGTTTGAACTTTATCTCGAATATTAAAATGAGAGTGTCTCCTGTAGACCGATTTATTGATAGGATCAGTTTTTTGACTATTAAAGCTAATTAAAATTAAATGAGATTGAAAAATATGTAGAACAAATAGTTTCTAATACATATTTGAAGGCTGAAAAAACAAAATTTCCAATAGTTCTATTTTTCTAGTCATACAGGATAAACTCCTTATTAAAATTATGATCGAAAGTTAGGGGCTTTAAAAATAGAAAATTTCAAGTTTAGCCATTATTTTTTTCAACTCTATTATTTATGCCCCTATATAAAATTTTAATGTCACTACGAAAAGTTCTCACATAAAGTCATATCTCAACTCGAATTACAAACTTAAATTGGCAAACTAAACGAGCCGCTACAGGTTACGAAGTGACAACATGGAGGTTACCAAAGATAACTTACAAGTTACAAAAGATAACTTGCAGGTTATGAAAAAACTAACCTATATATTATTAGTGGCATTTTATAATTTAACAATAGTGACAAAAATAAAATAATGTTACTTTATTGATGGTATTTTTAAAAGTTTTCATTTTTAAAAATGCTGTGGCCATAGCATCCCAAGCCCCATATGGTTGAAAGGTGTCTGTATAATTAATTTTAACTTGACTTTATTTTAGGGAAAAGATGGAGATTTTATCTTTAAGAGTGCACGAGTCTGAACCTTTACCATTTATTTTTTATAAATACCCTTTTGTTAGTGAAAATATTTGACTAAATAGATTATAAATTAAGAATAAAAGGTAAAAATATTGACACATGTACTTTTAAAGAGTATTTGTTAAGATTGCCCTATTTTAAGCCATCATATTTTTCCTTTAAACGTGGACCCATTTACTAATAAATAAAAAGTTAAGTGCACCAATTTTTTTCCTTCGATAATTTTAAGGTAATAAATTTTCAGAATGACATTTTGAAAGGACTGAAAATTTATTTCTTGTGTAACTAAATTTGCGGACTTTACGGAATTATGTGCATGTCAAATGAAAGTTGAATGTGTGGATGAAGAACCCTATTCTTTTGTTTGTCTATTTTGTTACAGCTGATCGTTTTATTTGTTCTATGAGAGTTTTCGGTTGAGCTTCCCTATTGTTAATATCAGTTTAAATCAGATTAAAATCACATCAGAATGAAAGAAATATATACATATAATTTCTGCTATAAATCTGAAGGTTGAAAATATAAACTTTTCAGTAGTTTTTTTTTTTTTTTTTCAAGACCTATCAGAAAAACTATCTTATTATATATGGTATTTTTACATAAATCTTTAACACTAATATCTGTTTTAACCGAATAAAGATATCGTCCTTTATATCCAAAACTTACCCTTTAATTTTTAATTTTTTTAAAAAAAGAAACATGTGAATATGTGTTACTGATTTGCTTTCTAGCTAATTAAAATACATACACGTAAAAAAAATAGAGAAAATGAGACAAACACTTTTAGAGTGTAATATGATTTTGAATTTTTACTCTTTTATTTTTTATTAATATTAATCAAAAAATAAAGAATAAAAATTTAGATCATTACACTCTAGGGTAATTTCATCCATTTTCTCAAAACAAAGAACAAGTACTGATAAAGACACGAGCGAGAAGAATATGAACTGCATGAAAATGAAACAAACGAAACAACCTACCGTGACTAATATATATATATATATATATATATATAAAACTGAGAAATTTAACACAAATAATAATGTGCAGCAGTATTATGTAGGTAAACGCAAGATCCCATAATCGTCACCTATTGTCTTATAAAGACATAAATTGATAATTGATAAACGAATGTCTAGTTCAGTTTTCTATATCTACACGAATATAAACCGCTAAAAAAATTAAAATTTGGACAAGTACTCATGTCCTTCTCCATCCTCATACTAAAAAGAAAAGATGCTTCTGAAAAAACAACCCTCAATGTGTCTCTTTAGTGGTAATATTCTTACCACGCAATATTGATATATTATAAGCAAAATAAGTCACCATATCCTTCTTCTATTCACAAAAATGTAATAGAGAGTACGGAGACTTAAAATGTCCAAATTTTCCCCTCTATGCATCAAGTTCTTCACAGTGAAAATTAATAGGAACTGAAGCAAATGTGTTACCCAAATCACCAAAAAGAATGTCATCTCCCTCAGTGTAGCTACTGGAGTCTTGGCAATCAAAGTACGTTTGTATGTCCTCGGGGAAACTCCGGCGTGGTGGTTCCATCTCCGGAGGCGCGTCGGCGGCTGAAGTTCTCTCAAGCATTTCTTTAAACTTAGTGGACTGTAATAGAAGCCCTAAAGCGGATGAGGGTGAAGCACCGCCGCTGCCACCGCCGTTACGTGGTGTCGTCGCCGCCGGATCACCGGTTGCGCTCAACCGCATTAACCCTAGGTGAGGGTTAGGACTTGTTGGGCTAGTTGAATTTATTAAGTCTCCATTAGGGTTTGGTTGGAAGTTGTTAGGGTTATTTTGGTTGGAAGTTGGACGTAGCCACTTGATATAACGACTAAGGTCAAAGTTTGTTACTGCGTTTAGTCCACGGTATTCAATGGCTGCCATGTCATACGCTGTGGCTGCTTCCTCTTGTGTAGCTGCAAGAGGGTAATTATGTAATTTACTAAAACTTTAGGGATCACGAAGGGAGGGGGGGAAAAAAAAAAAAAAAAAAAAAGAACAAATTGAAGAATTTAGTTTGCTAGCAAATCTTGGTGCATGATCACGTTTGTTCAATTTATTTCAAAGGGTTTGAATGAATTATTAAATAGCTGACCAAGCAGTTGAGGTTTGGTGATCTACATGCCAACTAACCTGATTTGATTGCGCATTTTTTTCCCTATCTTATTGTTTCCTTTTTTTTTTTTTTTTTTGTTTTTTTTTTTTTTTTTTTTTTTTTTCCCCATGAATTAAGTGTTTTCTTTTTGAACTTAATATATTAAGTTTTTGCAGAGCTGGAGATCATATATAGACAATTTACTTAACATGCATATTTTTCCTTAGTCGGGCCATAGTATTTTCTTAGCTACTCCAAAAGAGGAATAATATATATAAATTTCCATAAAAAAAAGGAGGAAATTGTAATGTTTTTTTAAAACCTTTTTATGCATTATACAATTGTGACTCTACTCGTTTAATTGTTTACCTAACTCCTCTAAAAGATTACTCCTTAGTTGTTCTTGGTTTTTTTTTCTTTTTCTTTCCCTTTTTTTTTTTTTGGTTTTGAAGTTTTGTTCTTGGTTGTTGTAGGGTTATAGAATGTAGATATACGTATATGGAGAGATGAACGACCTGTCTCTTGCCAAGTGGCACAGAATTATACGTTTTTCAAATTACATTATAAAGAAGCCATGCACTAAAAGTTAATTAACCTACCATGCACTAAAAGTTAATTAACCTACCAGCTTCTCTTGAATTTCTGGTATGCATATGGTTTCCTTATTGGATTTTTTATATCTTACTTTACATTATATTTTTATTCTTTTACTGGATACAGCTTATATAGAGAGTTTTTTTTTTTTTTTTTTTTAAAGAAGTATAGAGAAAGATTTTGGACTTGTGTATTTGCATAATTTAATGGATTCTCTGCCTATAGTTTAATCGCCATCAAGATCATTTTGATATTCATGATGAGAGTATTAAAAGTAAAGGAGAATTTTTCTTTCGATCCACACAAAAAAAAAAAAAAAACATACCATAGGTTCCCAGGTAGAGATACTTGTTTCCAAATACTCTGCCTATCCGGGCTTCCCATCTTCCATTGTGGTGATGTCTGCAGATTTTAATCAAGCGGAAGATCAATTTAATTAGTTATTGTACACACACACATATATATATATATATAAACAATATATATACACATATTGCTAGTCATGGTTTAATTTGTTGATAAATTATGTCCAATGATTAATCGAACGTTATATATTCATGGCAAGAAAGTGAACATATATAAAATAAAATGAAATATAATTTACCAAAGGCAATATGACCAATAAGTTGCTGTATTAATTATTTACCTTTTTCTTTTTATTTAAATAGTGATATTTCATCAAACACAATTTTTTTAAGGCAAGAGAATTTGTATTTCAGATATATATTAAAAGTAGGTGTAGAATTATTATCAAACTAATTTTGTGATTATTGTATTAAAAATATGTGTTTGCTCTAACCTCTATATGATACTCCAAGAGAGAGATTGAGAGAGTTTTAGGCATTCCACAAAAAGAAGATATAATTTTGAAACATGAAAAATCCGAGTATAGGTTTCTTTTAAAAATAATTATATTAATCGGAGTTAATTGTAAAATCGCCACATCAGATAGAGTAGTTCTAACGTGCTGTAAGAAATGGTATTGCAAAAAAAAAAAAAAAAAAAAAAAAACAATAAGTAAATGTGAAATTTTCTTTAAAAAAAAAAAAGCCAATTAAAGGAAGATAAAAATCTAATTAGTCACCTTGCCACCCCTCTATATTTTGAAACTCCACGGGAAAATCCGCTACTCTTCCTGTAAATAAATTATATTCAAAATTAGAAAAACTAAGACTTAATGCATAATATTAACTTAAATTGGATTTCAGTGTACCAAAATTAAATAGGTTATATGATCACCTTCTCAAAGATCCAATATATTCTTCTTTTGATTGACCCTCCATTTCTTTGAGCTCTTCTTCATACGTTGGTAACTACAATTCCAAAATATTAACACCGATTTGGTTCATGAATTTGAATAGAAAGTTTAAAGGAAGAAAACATAATGCGTGGAAATTGAAACATATAAATGAATTTGAATAGAAAATGAAATTGAAACATATAAATAGGAGAAATATTAGGGAGTTAAAGGCAAAATAATTTTGTGAAATTAAGAAATTTACTGGAAAATTGAGGATAGTGTCATGTCCCCAATACTTCAATGCTGCCAAGTCATATGCATGTGCTGCAGCTTTCTCATCATCATATGCTCCTAACAAACAAACCCAACATCTTTGAATTAATGACTTCCACTATTGATACATATATAACACTCTCAGTTCTCAGAAAAGTAAAAAATAAATAAAATAAAAATATGTACAGAGCCATTAATAATTACGTATATATAAGCAAATTAATGGTACTTTTTTCTGCCAAAGCATACGTACCTAAATATACTGCATTAATTTGTTCCGGTCGATTCCACCATCGTCATTAAAAAAATAATAATAAATTAAATTAAATTAAAATCAGAGAAAATATTTTTTTAATGAAATGAAAGGAAAAAACCAAAGTGATCAAAGAGTAATAACAAAAAAATAAAAAATAAAAATAAAATTTTTTTTACCTTGTCTTCCTTTCTTGTTCTGTGAATCATTCCAGCAATTCTTATCCCACAAATGAGCTTCATACCGACCTGTCCAACGATGTCTGCAAAAAAAAAAAAAAAAAAAAAAAAAAAAAAAAAAAAAGATTTGTAGTACTTGATCTGCTTAATTACTCATGTCAAACCGTTAATTAACCCTAATTAACACATCTCATAAAGATTAAGAATGCACATGATATCCTTCTTGATCAAACCTTGTGACACCTCTATAAATCGAGCTGCGTTGCGGGGGAGAGTCCCGGGGAACGCTTTTTCGCGTCCTCTTCGCCTTTTTCGCAACGTTACTGTCGTTGCCGTGGTTTTTTTTCCCGGTGGCTGCAGAGTTCTTCTGGTTTTTCTGAGAGACCTTCGCCATTAATAATAAACTAGGACAATAGCAATAAAACACACGTATATGAGAAGATGCAGAAAAACTCAAAGAGAAAAAAATATATATTTGACAAAGTCATCCAATGAGAGGAGTTTTTAAAAGAACTCAAAGGGCAGTAGTACTCACTAAACCTTGCCGGCTGAGAAATGGCCGTTTCTGGACGTCTCGAAACGGCTAGCTCGTAGTCTCTTCCCTTTGTCCTCACTTGTGTTCTTTTGTGTTATATACTGTGAAAAAAAAATGTTGTAGATATATATATTTGCCTTTGCTTCAATCTTTTCCACTCTATAATGCTAAGCTATTTATATTATGCAACCATAGAGTTAAAAAACTTAAACTACTCATTCTTCTCTAGTGCTTTCTCTTATTTCGTAATTTCCTCTTTCTTTTTGCTTGCCCAAATTTATTAATAACGTGTGTCCCGTCATTAATTCTTAATTTATTATTTAAAGTAGCTGTATCAATCTTTTTATCTTGTCCACTGGTGATCTTTAAAAGTTAAAAATTTAATATGATTATACATCAATCTTTCATCTTCTTTGCAGGGTCCACCTTTAGCATTTGCTGACATCATATGCAAAGCCTTTCTTGGTCGCCAAATTCTCACACGACTTACCCTTTAGTTGCAATTGAGGTAAGCATATGAAAAGTTTAATGTAGTTTGGTTTATAGATTTAAAATTATGATTTTGAATTATTTTTATTTTATGTGTATGTTTTAAGAGAAAAATATTAGAAAAAATTATAAATAATGATTCAGAATTAGAGATGAATGTGCCTCTTTCTTTCTTCTATTATTATTTTTTTTAAATCAAATATTAGTTTTTATATCTGATAATCCAATATTAGTTTAGTGTGTTTTGATTCTTTGATAGTTTATATATACCTATTGATGAAAGATCTTTTGTCGTGATTGTCTTTTTTACTAGGGTCTTTTTTTCGGTAGCGCTTCTCTAACAACAGGCTTAGTATTCTACTTTCATTAGGTCAAAAAATTATATAAAATAAACAGATTTTAGTACATATTTAACGGTTAAAAACAAAGATTTTTTGGCATTTCATTTTCTCAAAACCTACAAGACAAATCCTCTTTACTTTAAAGACCTGTGACGGAATATGAAAAAAAAAAAAACTAAATTAGTCATAATTATATCACATAAAAAGTATGGCATTTTACGTGGGTTAGATAATTAATTTTGTTATTAGTCGAGGATGAGTTTTCTCTTTTTCTCTCTCTTTTCTTTCTTTTTTTTTTAAATCTTCTTTATTTATTATTATTTTTTTAAAATGACCGACAAATCCTCTTTACTTTAAAGACCTGTGAAAATATGAAAAAAAAAAAAAAACTAAATTAGTCATAATTATATCACATAAAAAGTATGGCATTTTACGTGGGTTAGATAATTAATTTTGTTATTAGTCGAGGATGAGTTTTCTCTTTTTCTCTCTCTCTCTTTTTTTTTTTAAATCTTCTTTATTTATTATTATTATTTAAAAATGACCCAAAAAAAGAATCATTTCAAACTTAGTCCCACATGGTCATATGATGAGTTTCCATCCATTTTTGAATAAAACCCAGACATTGGGACTAACTGTGAAATTGTTGTAGAAATCAGAGTTGTGTACTATATAAAAGTAAATATTGAGGCCAAATTGGTCTGAGGCTATAAAACGGGAGGGACCATTTGTGAAAAATAATCCTAAAATATACAGAAGTGAAATCAACTGGGTAAATTATACTCTCACATTTGGGTTAATAAGAAAGACAAATACGAACGACTATAATATATATATATATATATATAGAGAGAGAGAGAGAGAGAGACATGCGTTAGCATATATATTGTTTGGAAAAATTATTTATGGACCAAAGTTTAGAAAGAATCGATTACTTTGTTAGGATCATCTAACCGCCATACACAAAATTTGAGAATGTGAGAGTGCTTTCTTATAGGACCTATTAACGTAAAAGTTTTGCGTGATATAGGATTAAAACATATGTTAGGTTGGCAGATCTGTAGAAAGTCGCTTTGACTACTTATGGAATACTGAGAGACACTATTTATCATCTCTATTGATTTACGTTTATATATATGTATCTATATATCATATTTTCGTCTCCTATCTAGTCAATAGGCAGGCCAATATTTAGCCCCACCAAAGACACTTTAGGAGTAGGTCCTAACTCATAATTATTAATTAAATAATTTTTTCAAGGAGTCAATGGTCATTTGAGAATTTCTCAAGTACGACCTATCCCTTTTAACTATTATTGTTCTAATAATTAGATTTAGGCCGTGTTTGAAATTAATCCCATTTTTATTTTTTACGTTTTTCAAGAAAGAAAAAATGAAAACGCGTTTGGCACAATAAAGATAAAAAACAGAAATGAAAACGATTTTTTGGTTTAGTGTGAAATGAGAGAGAAATGAAAAATAACTTTTAGTCGTTTTTTATTTTTTGTTTTCGTTTTCTCCTCTTTCCAGCAAAGAGAGAAAGAGAGACATTAATGGGTTTTTTGAAATGAGAGAGAAATGAAAAATAACTTTTAGTCGTTTTTCATTTTTTGTTCTCGTTTTCTCCTCTCTCGAGCAAAGAGAGAAAGAGAGACATTAATGGGTTTTTTGTTTACACTGAAAACAATCTCTTGATAAAACTACCAAACGCATTTTCAAAAATGATTTATGTCTGAGATTGAAAACGTTTTCGTTTTCATTTTCATACAACAAATAAAATCATTTTGGAACGAGTTTCAAACGCGCCCTTAAATTTTAACGGTATGATTTGTGAGTGTCTGCATCAAAAATTTACAATAGACAATATAAAAATGTTACAATCACACACCATACTTTTAAAAAGATAATCTAACAGTTAAAACGACAATAGCTATCGACAGTTAAAAAGAACAGGCCGTCTAGAAGAGAAATTCCATAATCAGATTAGTTGTATGTAAAGTTAAGGAAGTGAAGTTGGATGGTCCACTATACGTATGACTCCTACAAATTTGAGAAATAATGCCTTTTAGTAATTAATTGCTGTACATATTTCTTGGTGTGTCTTATTCTGCGGCGGTGGGGTTTTCTAGTGTAAAGAAAACAGCTATACAAAGTATAGTACTCCTTATAAATTGCGTAAATATTTGTTCATGGGTAGGTCAGGGTTGGGTGGTAGTAAGTGTGGCTTTGTGGGGTCATTAGTCATTACCAAGATTTTGCTACAGCAAGTTAATGAATGGTCCATTCTTTATTAAATATTATTGCCCAATATTATTAATATTAAATCAAAGAAAGTTGGAACTGCCAACAAAAATGTCGACTTTCAGTTTGAAGAAGACAGCGGGGAAAATTTTGTGGGATAAACTTTTTTTGTCTTATCGATTGAAAAACGGAAAATTTTTTGGGTGCGTTTGGAATTAATTTTAAAATAAAATATTTTTAATAAAAAATAAAATTGAGATTATTTTGAGAATTATTTTGAGACCGATTTTAAAATTACGTTTAGTTAGTATTTTAAGAGATTGTTTTGAGTATAATAAAAAATTAAAATAGTGTTTATTAATTAATATAGTATAATACTGTTAATAAGTACTAGAAAATGAAAACAGAAAAATAAAAACAACTTTAACTGTTTTCTAATTTCTTTACAAAAAACATTCTCACTGTTTTCGTTTTTAAAACATTTGTTAAACAAATGTAGGTTCGTTTTCATTTTATTTTTTATTTTTCAAAATACGTGAAAACGGTTCCAGCACCTTAATTAGTTGGTCCTTTCAAACACTTTTTTAGGAGACTTTTGGGCATATTCTCATGCCTTAGGGCTTAGTTACAAAAAATAAAAATAAAAAATAAAAGCTCGTCGTTTTTAAGTTCTTTTTTTGCTCTCTTATTATTGTTGACGACCATTAATTGGTACACCGTTTTAGCTTTGTGGACACCTCTATATGTTAACATCCATTTCTAGACAAAGAAAGAACAACCGACATTCATTCTAAGGTGGCAAACACCATCATATTTTCAGGTTAAGCTTTGAGAAAATTAAGAAAAAATTACTGTCTTATATTGCATAAGTATGAATTTTTACTTGTTTAATAGGATTGTTTTAACTAATAGAGTTATTTAACTAAAAATAAGATTCTTTTATGCTGCCGGGGGAATATTCTCAACACCATGTCGGGAGATATGATAATTTGTGAAATTTTACGTTAAAACTTGCAAAGTCGAATGATAAAGTTGTAAAAGTTACGATAATTTGGGAAATTTGAATTTTCATGATGATTTACGTTAGAACTTGCAAACTCAAATGATTCATCGTAAAATTTAAAATTTCACAAATTATCATTTGAGTTTGCAACTTTATCGTTTGAGTTTATAAGTTTTAACGTTAAATTTCACAAATTATTGTATCTCCTGACACGGTGCCGGAAAAAAGTGTCCCGATAAGTATAAAAGGACCCTTAAAAATGATATTAATTAAAAATAAATAATAAAATTTCATACGTAAACACTCTAAGAGATATTTGTCTCTTTTTCCTAAAAATTAATAGTGCAACTGAGACAGTATCGTGCCTCTCACCAAAAGAAGATATTGTATCGTGCCAAGGGATATACTTGAGGTTCATTTTCTTCCTAGATATGTGTATGGATAGTTTCATATGTGTAGTTTAGGAAACCGTATATTTTAAAAATTTAAAGTTGGAGATGCATGAAAAATCTACTCAAATGATTATACATACTATTAGGATTATGCTATTTCAAAATAATTTTACATATGCGCAGTTTGATTAATTAAATAAATTCATGTTCCTTTTTTCATTGTGTGTTATCTATTCGAATAAAATTGATCATGATAGTTGTAATGAAGGTCACAATTAATTGATTTGATTAATCAATTATGAACCATTGATATTATGTATTTTATTGAACGGATCATAAATAAAATTTAATTTTAGTGAGATTTCTAAACAAACTTTATAGGCTCTAAATAAATTAGTGTTTTCCATTGTGAAAATCACAATCACGATCTACTCCAGACTAAGAATTTTTATTCTATAATTCAATACCCTTTGTAATTGGAAATGGTTAATCAGTATAATAACATTGAACTTTTGCGACTCGCTTGAGAGTTTAATAATTTCTCCTTAAGTCGGCAAAATAATTGATCATTTTAATCATTGGCCAAAATATTCTCTTTGAGGAATCAATAGATTTGATTATGTTGAGGTGATTAATAAAGTGACTAGCACGCGTAAAGTCGAAAGGATTAAATTTGATTGGATAAACTGTTATACTAATTAG